GAAAGCAGAATAGGAATTAAACCATAAAACAAGATAGAGTAATCTATAAACTCTCCTAATATGTGTGGACGTCTCACATTCTCGTTTCCCATTTAGGAATAATTAGTTTTAAGAAGTCTTCTTGCCCGCACTTTAGGGTTGCATTTCGCTCTCTCTGCGTCTTTTAAGCACTTTAGGGTCCACCGTCTTGCACGCCTCTGGAATCTCCATCTCCTCTTCATTGTCCGCCACCAGATTGTATTCGTTGTCCAGGACAATACGCTCTTCACTGTCAGGGACAATAACCTCTTCATTGTTCTCCGCCATAACCTCTGTCGGATAATCGCAAATCGTCCACTGCAAGATCGTCTTCACTATCAGGAATGATCAGTGGATCATCATCTTCCAGGGAGTATGGATCCATGCAAGTTCGATGCAGGTCCGATGCAGGGTCTGTGATTGAAAGGGTGAGTTGTGGAGTTAGGGTTTAGATCTAAATCATCTGCTACACACATGCGAGGTTAATAATGAAGGTCATGAGAGAGGGAGGCGGAAGGGTGAGGGTAGATAGATTGCAGGGGGATGGTTGAAGTAAATGAGAAAGGGAGACGAGAGTAAATGAGAGAGGGAGACAGATGGAGTAACCGAGAGAGAAAGAGAGGGGGGAGACAAATGGAGTAAATGAGAGAGAGGGAGACAGATGGGGTAAATGAGAGACACGATCTAATTAAAAAAGAAAGGGCCAAGTAGGGTTTTGATCATATGTTTCTTTCCTTATTTAGTAAGCGGGAAGATTTTTTTGGGACGGCCCACTAAGGAAAGTTGGAAGAATTTTTTGGGATGAGGGGAGTAAAAAACTTGTGGTTTCAATTAATTCTTTCTCTTCTGCACAAACCTAGGGATGGCAATGGGGCGGGGTTGGGGCGGGGGTTCACTCCCCCATCCCCCGCCCCGTGTCTAAAAAATCGCCCCCCACCCCCGCCCCATCCCCCACTACTATTCGACCCGCCCCATCCCCGCCCCGACCCGCTAGACCCACGGGTACCCAACGGGGGAAGTACTCGTCAAAAATTAACATCATTTTAGATTGACAATTTTTCAAAAATTAAACAACACTTCTAGTAGCCAATTTTTTTTTTTTACTTTTTAAGGGTTGGTTTGCAACTCTTTTTAAAAAAGCACTTCTCAGCTTTTGGCTTTAAAAAAACACTTATTTTCCCAAACACTACAACTTTTACTTTTCTCGGCTTTCGCATCAAAAGTGCTTTTACTTTTTCTATTACACAAAAAGCACTTATTTTACCAAACACTACCCACTTTTACTTTTCAAAATCACTTTTTTCTCAAACACTATCAACTTTTATTTAATCACTTCTCCCCATTTCATTAAAAAAAGCACTTTTTTAAAAGCAGAAGTTCTTGCAAACAGACCCTAAGTGTCAATGTAATCTTACATCCCATTTCAAATCTAGAACACATTATACACGTCCTAATTTAGTCATTTTTATCAAACTCTAAATTAGCATTGATTAGCTCTATAATATTTTCTTAAACCCTGCATTCAATCAATCATGGTCATTTGATGGCATCTAGGACGGCATATGATCACAAAATTTTAAGAGCCCTAACTACAATCAAAAGAAAAGAATTAATGCATTGTAATAGTAAAGGAAAAAAACTTTCACACCGTGCCTAGGGCGTTTAAGCTAATATCACTTTATAATTTTCCCAAATTCATTTTACTTTATCCCTAAACAAATCATTTTACTTTATGATTTTGATAAGCAATTTTACAAGATAGCTTAGTTATTAAACAAGAATTAAATAGACCCATTAGGCACAATCCATTAGATAGGAAACCACTAAACCCACCGGGCCACCATGCTATTTTAATTACTTCGTATTAGTATTACTATTATTATTAGTATTATTATTGAGATTATTATTATTATTAATTATTACGGGGGACGGGGCGGGGACGGTGCGGGGGGTGCATAACCCATCACCCGCCCCATATTTATGCGGGGAGAAAATATCTCCCCCACCCCACCACCCGCCCCACCACACCACCCGCCCCAACTCCCCCCACGGGGCGGTTCCCCACGGGCCCCCGCCTCCATTGCCATCCTTACACAAACCCCAATGACACTGTTTTTACTTTATTAATTTCAGTGTCAATCAAACATGATCAATTTTTAAGGGCCGAAGAGAGTATATGATTGATAGGATTGCATCGGAACTATAGATAGAGCTCACATTGAAGCGAAGGTTCATAAGCAAATTCCATTTATAGGTAGGAACTAGGAAGGGTTACACAACACAAAATGTTATGGTTGCATTTGATTCTTAAATGTTGATGGAGTATATGGCCCAGGAACCCCCGGCCCATAGACTCCTACTTCTCCTACACAAGTCCATTGAGCTCAGGGAACATCTCAGGCCCAAATGCAACGGCCCAAGCGTCAAAGAAGCCCAGAATACACACTGGGGTGCCTTCGGCCTCCCTGGCCGAAGGCTCCAAAACTCACAGGATAGCCTTTTTGGGCATACGAAGCTACTGGGAGAAAACGGCGGAAAACAGGAGCCTTCGGCATCATCAAGTCCTCGGCATCAGAGGAGCCTCCGGCTGAACCAAGCCTCCGGTCACGCAGGGCCTTCGGCTACACAGGGGTCCTCGGTCACATGGAGCCCTCGGCTACACAAGGAGCCTCCGGCCAAACATGCTCAATCATCGAAGATTCCTTTTGGAAACAGTCAACCACCGCATTTAATGCAACGTCACATCCGCCAACTGCATTCAATGCGGTGAACATGCCACTGCCGGTGCCACCCGATTGATGTGACCCTTCGGCCGTTGGATTGTTGACACGTGTGCTCTCATCGCATTTATTGCTGCTATAAATAGCAGTCCATTTCTACTTGTAAACGATCCCAACTCCACATCTCGAGTTCATTTAATAAAATCGACTCTCTCTCCTCCTATTTACTCTGACTTCTCTCTAGTTATTCCCGCAATAACCCCTCGGATAAGATACCCCCGGGTAGACTGTCCATCAAATGTGTTTCATTTTTGTGTTGCCTAGATGGGAAGGGAGTGCACATGACGCTCGAATTTTCGACTCTACTATTCGTGACTCATCAAAGAATTCTCAAATCCCTCATAGATGTAAGTGTAAATATTTTTTATACTTATGATGAACATGTATTATTATGTTTTGTAATTATACATGGATTTGTTTAATTATAGGTAAATACTACCTAGTTAACGCATGATAGCTAGGCTTCATACTTGGCAGACTCCACAAACTGGATGGAGGAAGTTAAATGTTGATGCTTCTAGTGGCAATTTTGGCAGGGGACTTGGTTGGGTTCTTAGGGACGAGAAAGGTGATTTTGTGGCTGGGGGTGCTAAACCGGGGTGGGGATGTTCTACTTCTTTGGAGGCCGAATTGCTAAGTATTCGAGAAGCGCTTAGTTGGATTAAACAGCGAGATTGGGACTATGTAGAGGTTGAAACAGATGCTAAGGTGGCTGTCTCGGAAACTAATAACGAATCGAGTACATCGGCGGTGGGCATTTTAGCTGAGGATATTCGAGAAATTAGCAAAAGTTTTACTAATATTTCTTTTTCTTTTGTGAAACGATCAGCGAATAGAGTTGCTCATAAATTGGCTAGAGTAGCTTGTTCTTTGTCTGATTGTCATGTTCTTTTGAACTTCGATTTGATTAATGCTAGTTAATTCAGTTCCTTTCAAAAAAAATAATCACTATGAATCATTCAATCATTTGTATTCTTCTTTGCGCTCAGTTATTGAATGAGCATTTGACGTTTGTAAAAAGAAATTTGAAATCGCGGACAACATGTCTGTCAATATTAATTGGGCCGGTCAATATCCCTAATTCCTGTGACAATGGTAATTTGCAATTTTTTTCCCGAAAGAATAGTGCTATAGATAATGCTTTTGCTGAGGCCGAGAATGATGAAAGTAAATAACTCGAAATTAAGGATGGACTCGGGCCAAGTGGCCCGACCCGGAACCGGCCCGAACCGGCACTGTTCCGTCCCGGTGGCCCGGTCAGTGACCGGTTCGGGTAGGCCCGGCCCGCTAGGGTTCCGGTCCGGGCTCGGGCCATTTTATTTTTTTGAATTTTTTTTGAATTTTTTTTTAAGTTTTTGGGTTGGGCTAGGTATTTTGGGTCATTTGAGATGGTTTGGAGGGGGTTAATTAGGAAAAGGCAAAAAAAAAAAATTGAACCGAGGCCCGGCCCGGACTCGGGGGTTACCCGGGCCGGTTCCGGGCCTCCCCTTTCCTGAACCGAGGCCCGGCCGGGCCCGAACCGGCCCGGGTCCATGCCTACTCGAAATATGAGAAATGAGATGAGGTCAAATCACATAAAGGTGATTTGAGAAATGACATGTGTAATTAAAGGGTTCGTCTATGGTGCACTTTAAAATTTAGCGTGTTTCGGTACATTCCAATTTTTAACCAATCAAATTATAGTAAATCGCCATGTCATATTATTTCTATTTTTTGCAATTTAATCCCTCAAATTAAAGGTTCTCGACATTTCTAAATTATCCAGAAACCTTATGATCTTCATCACAACCCTTCACAAGAACACATGCATGAGAATCGAACCATCTTTCTTGCATAAACGAGAACGTTTGCGAAGAGTTTTAGCATTGATCATAGAAATCAATTTCAAAACTCCCAACATCGCAAGGTTCAAAGCGCACGTCGCAATTGTTGTTAACTGTATTATGTTTGGCTTGAGAACTTTGCTTCATAGTACTGGCGGGGCCGGTGACCCATGTATAACGGTAGTTGTATAGGTAGAGAGGCAAATCAAGCAATCCTAGGGTTTGAATTGATAGGAAAACCAAAAACCTATCTTAATTTTCGAACTTCTGTTGTTTTAAACTAGTAGAAATCTTTTTCTCTCATCGATCTCAATTATCTGGTTTTCTTTCACACTCACCAGGATAAAAAAACTTTGAGAAACTTCCAGTCTTGTGTTTGTTTGGAAAATATAAGGTGTGTATTATAATTTTAGAAAATTATGAGTAAGTTGTTGATTTTTGGACTAAAATGCAAATAATAATATCGATGTACTAATATGGCGATGATGGTGAGATGGCAGGTAACCTAGTCTCATTGGTTTATTAACTTACGTACCGGTACCTTGTGAATTTATAAAGGCACCATAGAATTTCTCATAATTAAAGCCGAACTCGACGCTATCACCTCAACCTCCAGCAGTGCAACCGCCGCACCTCGCAGCTCATCCACTGCAGCTCATGGCTCAATTACCACAACAATCGGCCCAAGCACAGATGCCTCTGAATCTGTTACCAGCACAAAGCAAAACCATAATCTGAGAGCAGAGAAATTGTTCTTATGAAGCAGTACAATCGATTCCATGCTATGGAATCGAAAACCAAATACAAAGCTTCTCCATCCCTCAATTACCAAATGGGGAGGAAATTCCAAAACCCTACCAGAGGGAATACAAACCATGTTTTTAGGAAAAAAGATCTACATGGCCAGTTGTACTATTTTTCCTTTAATTATGGGTTTTTTCCTAATGAGTTTTCCATACTATGATTTTTAATGAGGAATCAAATACCCATGTACATATCTAAAGATGAACATTCAAGAGAGTTGTTGATTAATTCTTGACATAACAACTATGAATTGTTCATATCGCAGATGAAATTTCCATTGTCATAACCATACAAGGAGAGGTGTTTCAACTTATCATTGACAATAAAAATTTGTAGAATCATACGTGAGATGATTCATTACCAAGGTCAAGTACTATAGATAACGACATGTTGATATCCTGTAAAATCATTATAAAATATTATAGATTCAAAGGGTTATAGATTATGAGGCCGTTTGGCAACACTGTTTTTCGGCTTATCAGGCTTATTAGCCAACTTTTTCACCAAACGCGTAATTTTTGCTTTCGCGCGCTGAATTGTTAATAAGCAGAAAAAGTAAAGTTGGAGTTACTTTTCTGGCTGTATTGGTTGAAGTTACTGTAGATGACCATTTTAGCTATTTTACATATATTTTTTTCTTTATTTTATTAATAAAATATTTTTTCTTAAATCAGCATAATCAGCCAATGCAACCACTTCAGCCAGAACTTCATAAATTTCAACAGAATCAGCCAAAACAGCCGATTTTGTTGCCACCGAACGGGCTCTATATTTATCTTTCTATATACAATCCCTAGTATATCAGATATTTCTTTAATAAAGTTCACATAAGTTAACTATTGTCTTTTTCCCAAACAATAAGAAGTTAAGCAAATTGTTCACATAAGAGTACAAATCATAGAAGATATTTCTTAACTATTGTCTTTTTCCCAAACAATAAGTTCACATAAGAGTACAAATCATAGATACAGTGCTATGGCTAAGAAGTTAAGCAAATTGTTCGAAAATTGAAATATAGAATGTTTTTACATGAAATGCATTTAAATACATACTAATAGCTCTAGAAAACTTTGTGTAATGAGTAAAAACTCAGAGCGCCTCTTCCTACCGAAGCGACACATAAACTTGCCTAAGCTTCTAAGGCTTGAGGCTTAGTCGTGTACTCGTGTTGCATCGTCACGCCTTACGCCTTTTAGGACACAGGTGATAATGTTTATAATTAATCTTGTTTTTGAGTTTATACTCTAATCAAGTGCTCCTTACATAAGACAGTTAACTAAGAAATTGCCTTTAGAAGAGTAAAACAAGATGATTTCTTTAATTGCCTTAAAAGGAGTATTTTTGTTCTCTGGGAGTAAGAGTTGTCACCCCGAATGGCACTAATAAAGTTATATTAATGCTTGATAGTGTCATGATAGAAATATTTTACTCATTCATATTTAGATGGAAAAAAGCATTGCACTCCTATTCAGGGAAACCACCTTAGTTTTACTTGTATTTTGAAAATTTCCTCAACTTGCTTTTGAATGACTCAAACATTGACATTAGCAAATCTTTTTTTAACTTTCTTACGTAATTCCTGTTTTATCTATTCTACTTTATTCATATTGATGTCTGTTTCGGGCCCTAAGTAAATTTTTGCATTGAACATCATTCTGCAAGTGTGCACTGAAAGAAGACAAATCACACAATAATGTTTAGAAAGATGAATATGAACTACAAGAGAAATGCAGTATGACATAGATGATAAAGACTACGTGATCTTAGAGTTCTTTGGATCATTACTATTCATTAACAGTCAAGAGAAGCTATGAAAATGAAAGGTTGGTACCCCAAGCGCAAGATGATGATAGCCTAATCTTGAACTTCACTCTTTGAGGTTGATTCTTGTCTAGACTCTTGCTTCTCTAAAAAACATCTTATTTAACCTGCAAAAATCAAACAATCAGGTCGGAAGGCTGATAAATAGAACTGTTGGGGAATCATGATGTTTGATATTTGACTTTTGGTCAAGTCAACAAGTTGATTGTTTCCAGGATAAAAACCTAAATGAATTCTTGGGACATGAAGATTCACATGCTTGGTGAGAGATGAGAAGCCAACTGAAATGGATGATGCCATTGTGAAGCTGGGTTGATTGCAGCAAAGAAAACCAGGGATCGTGTTGACAGAAAGGATTGGAATTGCCAATATTAATCCATTTTGAGCTTTGTTGGATGACTTTATTGTGGACTCGTGCAGAGATTTGATCCCTCCCCCATATATGTTCTTTCTTTGCGTGTAAATACTACCTCCTTTTTTGCGGGGTGGGGGAGGGAAAGACTCTTCTCAACTTAGATGGCCAGAATGAAAATGGATAAATTAGACATCAAGTCATGGCGGCTTGGCGCACTGGTTAAGGTTTTGCTGTATGACCCAGAGGTCACGGGTTTAAGGAGTAAAATGCATAGACAGTACCTTAACTATTGGTAATGATGCATTTTAGTACCTCAACTCTTTAATGCTGCAAATCAGTACCTCAACTATGTTTAAATGTTGTGACCGGCAGTACCCTTCAATATTCCGGCCAAAAAACGCCACTTGTCCGCCGGAAATCCACGTCATTAAATCTGAGTCATCACTATTATCCACATAATTAAAGCTGTGAAAAAAATTGAAAAACCAAAATGATCTGTATGGGGTTCGAACATGCATGCAAGGGGCGAAAATACTTGCTCCCCACACAGCTACCATCCTACCACTATGGTTCTTGTCTACATATTGGAAAGCAATTGTATAAATAGAAATATAGACGTATCTTTTATGAGTCGTACATTTATATTAATTATATAAATAAATTATATACAAGATTACCTTTTACAACGCAAATACGTAATATATTATATATTTTTGTCACCGTATTATATATGTTACTTCAAATATTTTTTAAAAATATTATATGTCACATTTTTAGGGCCAATTTACCAAATTGGTAAAAAAAAAACTGGGTGTTTTCCCAAAGTGGTATAAAAACCTCTTGAGTCATATTGGTAAAAAAAGAAACCCAAGTGTTAAATTAGTCATTTTTTTGTGAGAGACTTTTTTTATCCTCGACTTTAGAATTCCCGATATTCATATTGTAAGTATTGTGAAATAGACATTTTCTGTATTTCAACTTTGATTTTGCCTGCTAACAGCCAGTTGAATCAGCAAATTAATACTAGCACATTCTATCAACTTTTTTTAACTAACCACTTTCATTATCAGTTTGAAAAAAATCTTAGTAACTTAACTGTTAAAATGTAAAATGACCATTAAGGATATGATTTTAAAAGTTTATATATTTAACATAATTTGATTTCTTCTCTTTTGAAAAAATTATGAAATTTGATATACGAGTATTATTTATATAATTTAATGTAAAAATAAAATAGTTATAATACTTTAAAATAAGAAATGCATTGTTGTTAAAAACTAGCTTTGTAAAAAATATCCGAAAAAACGAGTCTTTGAAAACTAGCACCATCAAACGTGAGGGCCACTGTATCCAACAAAAACATGTGATAGAAGATAAAAGATGCATGGATAATCACTAATGTATACTCATAAAACATATTTATATTATTAATAGAAATGTACGACTCCAGAGTACAGAATAGTCATAGTGGTGTAGTGGGAGCTGTAAAGATAGCAAGTTATTTTGCTCCTTGCAACACAGGTTCGAACCCCATTCCACACATCATCCATTTTTGTTTATTTTTTCACAGCTTTCTCATATCACTAATGACATGGATTATAAAGATGACTCAGATTTAATGGCATGGATTTCCGGTGGACAAGTGGCATTTTTTGACCAGAATATTGAAGGGTACTGCCGGTCGCAACATTTAAACACAGTTGAGGTACTGATTTGCTTCATTAAAGAATTAAGGTACTAAAATGCATCATTACTAATAGTTAAGGTACTCTCTATGCATTTTACTCCGGGTTTAAGTCTTGGGAGGGTCTTCTTATTAAAATTTGACAGGGGAAGGCTCGCCCCTTATACGCCTTATGGGGATTCGTGCACCGAGCTGCCCCTTTTATACAATCTTTGTAATGTAAAATGAGTCCAATGTATGCATTAATAAAAAAAACAGATTGAACTTGGATGGGCCAGAGCCCCGTCCAACGTTGTCAAAGAGCACTATGAAGCGCCTAGATAGACATTGGCAGGGACGCTATAAAATTAGAAGAAAATAATAAAGTAACTCTGCCACTGTATAACAGACAATTTCAAAACAGTATTTTATCGCTATGGTAATAATCTTAAATTCTTGAAAAAATATCACTTAATATTTTACAATTACAAACTAACCTCAGCGAGCTTATTTCTCAGTTGCTGGGCGATGTGGTGTTGCTCCAAATTCAGAGCACACTGCAAGAAGATTGCATTTTCAAGATCAATACTTTTACTTTCTACACACAGAATACTGCTAACGCCTGGCTAGCGGTGATAAAACAGTTTAGACCTGAACTCATGTTGCCAAATTCTGCTGGGAAAAAAGCACCAATATGTCCTCATTGCGACTCTTGCTGTGCTCAATGCTAGCAGATTCTGACCGTCCCCTTCGAACAGCCATCCAGCTACAACTCACCAAAACCATCTCTGTGAAATATCAATATGTCTAACATTAAATATTCTTTTTCTATATGAATAATGCCAACCACGTTGACTTCCCACAACAAACACAGCCGGGGCCCGGATCTTAATTAAAATGCCAAAATACCTCTTTGAACCACAGTATCTTGATGTTGCTAAAGTGCTTATATATGTCCCTTGAACGATAATGCCAAATCCTTGCACCAAAAAGCACTATGAGTTCTTTTTACCTGATATTAGTGCAGAGAAAATAAAACACAACGATATATCAATAATATAGCACCAAAACCCCATGAAAACGGGGAAAAGCAATATTTCATCAACCTGGATATAGTTTTTTTTTTAAATATTCTTTTAATATATCGTTCACAATTTCAGATTATTTCTGCATCACTCAACCTATCCCTACAAGGTGAAACAACTCAATTTCTTCCATGTGCGGCTGTGCGCCATTTCTCATCATGTTCCCACGCTCATGTGCACCATTTCTCATCCCTTCGTTTCAATGGTCCTCAGGTAAATCAAAGAAAAACCTACTTAAAAAATATAAACAAAAAATTACACCAATAAATTCTATTAATATGTGAATATTTGCCAAACTATATACGGAGTACAATATAATGTTTTCCCTCTTTTCTTATTGAAAATGGAATATTTTAAGAAACTTTTTAAATTGATGTTTTTAAGATGTTTTTGAGTGGAGAAGAAATAACACTTGGCAAGTTGGCATTACGATTGCATTTCTTCGCTTAACACAAAACAAATACGTAGTAGCATTTTGAGTTAAACATGACCATTGATTCTATTGCAAGAACATGTACATAGTACATACTATGGGGGTGTTTGGAACTGATTCTGCTTCTGCTTTTTTTAAAGCAGAATCAGAATCAGTTTTCAGAAACTGGTCTCCCCCGGCTTCTAAAAAAACTGATTCTGGGAGTAAATTAAAGCACCAGAATCACTTCTGCACTTTCACTCAAACACTCCAACTTCTGCTCCTTCAGGGAATCAGATCCAAACACCGGAACACCCCCTACATACATCATCAACTAAAACCAAATGAATCGGAAGCACTGAATGAGCCAATTAAAGTAAGTGTTCTTTTAAATATATATATTTTCTCATCCATGTGTGGATCAACTCTACCTTCACATTCTCCAAAACCATCTGCTACTATAATAATAATTACATTAAACTATTAAAGTAAAACACAAACACAAAAACAAGCCAATCAAGTAAATAAGTAATTAGATAACAAGATGTGAAATCATTCAATCAATGAATAATCTGCAAATGCATACCAGCTCTAGCAAGCGAGCAAGTCCAGATCATCCAGTGGATGGGAAAACACTCCTATCAGTCTCAATCATACTATACCCATGGACCTTCCTAAGACCCGCGCTATGCATTTTGGACCTAACACTCTTGCTTTCCCTCCACTCCCCTCTCTCTGCATGTACATTAATTAATAATGTATAGCATCCACTATCCACAGTCTGTACATTCAAAAGGTTCTCCTGAATGCTTCTGATAATATCTGTTCTATGGTGAATTCTACACCCACTTATGAGTGAACCCCAGATGCTAGCATCTACACGGCATGGCATTGATTTGATAATCTCATATGCTCCTTCTACATCACCTGCCCGACTAAGAAGATCCACTAGGCATGCGATGTGTTCGGTTTGTGGCTCAATACCGAAACCAAACATGGCCTTAAAATAATACTTCCCTTCGTTCACATACCCAGCGTGACTACAAGCAGAGAGAATATTCATGAAAATCACATCATTTGGTCTTATTCCAGAATCTACCATTTCAGAAAAGAGTGATATTGCGGCAGTGATATGACCATGCATGCCATAACCGCCTATCATCGCACTCCATGAGATTATACTTTTCTCTGCAATTCTCCCGAAGACTTTTTGAGCTGTTCGAAGGTCTCCACATTTAGCATACATGTCTGTCAGAGCTGTGTTGATGTACAAATCATCCTTTACGACACCAAAGACGATCAGCTTATGGTGAATCCATTTTCCCTTTTCAAGAAACCCTATGCTAGAGCATGCTTGAATTGCACTCAAGTAAGTCACCTCGCTCATTGGAAGTGAACCGGAAAACATTTCATCAAACAAAGCAATAGCCTCCTCAGATTTACCGTTTTGGGAAAACCCACACATCATTGATGTCCAAGCCACAACTCCTCTGTCATTGATCTCCTCAAAGACGGCATAAGCCGAACACAAAAGCCCGGATTTAGAGTACATGTCAATTAGTGCGTTCTGGACAAACTCATTACCTGAAAATCCTGCCTTGATGACATGGCAATGCATCTGGCTCCCAGTTTGAGAAAATCCGTTGTCTCCACAACCTGAAATGACACTTCCAAGGGTAAAAGAGTCTGGAAGTATTACCTTGCTTCTCATTTCCATGAATAGCCTCAATGCCTCTATGCACATCCCTTCACTGGAGTAACCGGATATAAGCATATTCCACGAAATGATATGCCGATGTTTAGATGTGTCAAATACCTTGTGGCAATCCCCTAGCCTTCTGCAACTGGCATACAAGTCTACTAAAGCAGACCTCAGGACGTCATTATTAGGATTAGAGTCTATAACATCATTTCTGATAAGAAAACCGTGAATGGTTTTCCCTTCCTTTAACAAACCTGATCTTGCACAAGCACACAAAATGCTCATCAAAGTGACTTCATTGGGCTCCGCAGTTGACTGTTGCATTTCAACAAAGACTGATAATGCGTCACGATAACATCCGTTCTGATTAAAGCTGGAAATCATTGCTGTCCATGTGCAAGTGCTCCTATTGATAGAACGCCGATAGAGTGACTCAGCATTAGCTATTTCTCCACATTTCCCGTACATTGCAATAAGGGAATTACTCAATGCCCCATCACTTGGGATGTTTTTTCTCAAAATATAAGCATGCACAGATTTTGCTATTTTACATAGACCCAACTCCCCACAGGCTTCTGCTGCACCAAGCAGTGTAACTGAATCAATTCCAACACTTCCCTTCACCATTTCCCTGAATACATTCAAACCCTCACCCGGCTGATCATTATGTACATAACAGGAAATGATAGAGCTCCACGAAACTGTATCTCTTATCAACATTCCATCGAACAGTCTCTGTGCATAGAATGCACTCCCCAGCTCGCCGTACATATTCAACAAAGAGGTCTCAACAATAGGATCAGACGCAAACCCAGTCATAATTATCCTCCCATGGACTTTTTGGCCGACACCCAGTTCGCCAATTGCAGCGCAGGCCCTCAAAACGGAAGGGAATATGTAATCACTCATTTCAGGAAGCTGGTAAAGCATGGCGTCGTAGAGATAAATGGCTTCTTGAAAGCAGCAATTCCAAACATGGTTCTTGATCAGCACGCCCCACATGAAAGAATCGGGTTCTGGGAATAAGTCAAATATGGTTCTTGAAGTTGCAAGGGAGCCCATTTTGGCATAGGACTCTATTAGCTTAGTGGAAGCTTGGGCTTCTTTGTGGAGACCTGTGATAATGAGGCGGGCATGGAGTTGAGTGAGTGATCTTGAGGTTGTGCAGGTTCTGAACAGTGGCATGTATAGTGTAGTCATTTCTGTTGTTCCAAACATTCGCAATCCCAGTCATGCGTTTTCTGAGAACGCATCACATAAAAGTCGGCCAAATGACCAAATTGTAAAAAAAAGAGGGCCGTCGGTAAAAAAAGAAGTTCTAATCTCCTATAAATTGATCATTTTTTTTAGTGTGATACTTTTGATGCTTGATTTTAAAATTTATGACGTTTCATATCTTAGAATTTTTAGAATAATGTTAATTAAATAAATAATTCCCAAAACACTGCTGGGATAAAAATATTTTCCAAAATACTGTTGGAGTTAACCGTGGTTAAGAAAAGCCGTCACTTGAAGTGGCGGTTCTTCTCTTACAGTACAATAGCCGCCACTTCAAGTGGCGGCTCTTCTCTTATAGTACAAAAGCCGCCACTTGAAGTAACGGCTCTTCTCTTACAGTGCCACACCAGCCTATTCAACCGGAAAAAAACACAAAAATATGTTCAGTACTGTACAATCAACTCAGAAACATCAAACAACTGCTATTTCTCTAATCTCTATCTCTAATCTCTTCTCTAATCTCTATCTCTAATAAACAAAATCGTATAAGAGTGAATGATGGTAAGGGTGTTTTGGATAGTAAAAATGTGTTGGTAGTATGTATAGCTATAGGTACTTGTACAATATGCTTCAACTTTTGCACACCTAACTGAATTGGTAATTCAATACTAACGTTTTCGTCCTCCGTCCCGTTCCCGTTACCGGTTACATTGATTCATTTATGACTTTTTGTAGCCTCGTCCCGTTTCCGTCATCTTCACCCCAGAGGCTCATGAACTTACCCTTTTGCGTCTGGCATTGCCCCCCGCTTTCTCTGCAGGTTCTAGCCAACCAAACAGGGTAGGTTTGCTCTTATTAGCCGCCCAGGGAGAAATGGCTAGAGATAAAGCAGGTGTGTGAAGTGGTCTGCTGCATACGGGTAAGTACGAATCGCTTTTGTTGTTCTGGTTAGTTTTGATTGAATTTCTTGTTTACTTGATCATTTAATCGCCCTCCAATTATGTTGTAGTCATGTTAAATCTCAAAGGTTGGCAAGCTTACCTTTATTGTTCGTCATTGGTTCGTGAAGAACAGCTTACGGACTTGGTAGTTTCCTTTCAAGAATCTCTTGATTTCCCAATCTTCATCTGTCCGGTAAAACATAATTTTTGAACTCCATCAATTTAACAAGTAGTTTTACTCAACATACCGTTTTAAGTAATTTTTCGTTAATGTTGTTTTACATATATTTAGTTAAAATATACCTACAATGCTCTATCAATTGATATCATAAAATGTTAATTCTGTATAATTCATACTCTTTGGATTAGGGCTTTCGCTGTTATATCAAATCCAGTTTAAAGTTGCACATAAAACCAGATAATAAACATTCATTGTTTTGGTTTGTCTTAAGTTGGAGAAGTTATTGGCAAATTGTGCAAAAAGTCTAACATGTAATACATATGTCTCATTAGTTATTAACCTGTCCATTCCTGTTTTGCGTGTTTGAGTTATGAAGTGATATAATGTAAAGCGTTTTAGATGTCTTCTGAGTTTATAGTGAATAACTATGGTATTGTAAATTAGCATGATTGACCGAATGTGCTCTTTACATAAGTGGTGTAGGTAAAATATGTAGTTCTTCCATGTGGTTTTAGTAAAGTTATGATTGAAAAAGAATAAGGTTAAGTCACTAATCATTCTAAAATGCATTTTAGGAAATTTTTAATTATAACCACAACAACAACAACATCCAAGCATTTTTAAATGCATTTTAGCAAATTTTTAAATATAACTGAATTGTATATTTTCTTTCAAATACTTTTTTTTGAAAAAAAAATTAAAAGCTTTTCGGGTGTTAGTGTTAACACACGTTATAAAGCAACTATCTTGTTCCATGTTTTAGAACACACACATACCTCTTGGAAGTGAGTAATTGTCTTAAATCATCAGTGCACTGCAAACACTTCTTTCATGGATAGGAGAGCACTTCTCGAATCTGGATTTTTCAAATGTATCTTCTTTTAATAAACAATATACATAGTAGAGTGATTTGTTTAGTATGAATGAGCTAGCAGAATGAATGCTATGGTTTAGTGTGGTCCAAATTCCAATCATTTCTGCCTAAACTCAAATTTTAAGTTTCTCCCATGCTTTAATTTTTACCATTGGATTGAATTTATTCCATTTCACTTTAGGAGCAAGTGTTACTACTCCAACCTTCTTCAAAGTGTATTCATCAATAGTTTTTCAAAGCATTTACTCTTAATACTGCTTTGGGAAGAAATAATGAAGTGTATGGATGTAACACCCCACCCCGTAGGGCTCGAGGTAGTTACTCCACATACTCTACGGACCTCTAGTACTGTCCCCACAAACCACCACCAGCTTTTACCACGCACTTTGTCCTCACTTATGTGCACCCTGAGAAACTTCCCAGGGGGTCACCCATCCCAAGACTACTCTCGCCCAAGCACGCTTAACTTCAGAGTTTTGATGGGATGCGATCATACCAGCACTAATGCATCGGATCCCATCAGAACTCTAAAGTTAAGCGTGCTTGGGCGAGAGTAGTCTTGGGATGGGTGACCCCCTGGGAAGTTTCTTAGGGCGCGCATGAGTGAGGACAAAGTGCGCGGTAAAAGCTCATGGTGGTTTGTGGGGACAGTACTAGAGATCCGTAGAGTATGTGGAGTAACTACCTCGGGCCCTACGGGGGTGGGGTGTTACAATGGAGACCTAAAACTGAGATCTAATGTGAAGCAGTAGGTGTTTGTGAATTTGTCTCAATGACACTTTTTGCATTTTTATTGATGGCTCATATTAGTGTCTATCAAAACTCTATGCAGAGTTTAATTGAGAGACAAAATTTTAGAATCTATGAAAGCAACACTTAATAAATTTAATAGCATTGTTGGTTTGCCTTAGTCGTCATAAGAAAGGCTTTCTATGTTGTCCCCTTTAAAACTTTGATTTGGAAACGTGATTTCCATTAAAGTGATGCATATTGTGCATCTCTTGATTTGATAATATCTTGATGTGTATATAACTCTGTGTTTTATCTGTAGCTGAAAGTGAAAAAATTCCATTGTGTATGTAACTTAAGGGATTCATAGGATTACTCATTTTTATCATCTTACTATGGAGACTCACTTCCTACTCATTCAAAACCTTATTCTCCTAAAAAGTTATGTGTTCCACATGCTGATTCTTCTTTTTATCATGTGATAATTTGTTAGTCAATCATATCTACCTGAACATATTATTACTTTATGTATAACTTTTTCAATTTTTTGATGATATTAAAGAATTGCGTCTAGCAAACTTCTTTGGTGATATTGAAGAACAACTTTTAGCACGACCTTATTTTAGTGCATATGGTCATGGTCATTATATGGTTTTAATTAACTTTGAAACTTTGAGGGAATAATAGAATCAATTGTAATCATATCTCATAGACACCTGTCAACACGACAGAGAAGTTGTCAATTTGTTTTGAACTTGAGATGAAAATATTTTGCCAGTTAGTTCTTCTACGATTCTTTAAGGACATTCCTTGAAACTTTATCACTGTCTTGTTTATTTTGGTTTATTAACTTATTCTATTTTCTTATATGTAAAACACTAAGCATTATCGATCTTACTAAGTCTTTTATCTCGAAATAAAGGCATGCGATTATGTGAATCATTGGCCAAACTAATTACATATAGTGGCTCACATATTACCCATATTGCATTATCTTCTAGGCATATTTACTTTTCTTCAGTTTGACGGAAACATTTAATGCTTTCTCCTGAGACAATATTTTCAGAAAAAATATATTGTTTATCCATGCATCCATTAGTGCAAAAAACCAATCATGTGTTCTTTGTTTACCATATCTTCCTTGTAGTATTTTTGTATTGGTGTTGTCTCATAAATTGAAATCAATACTGTTTGGTTTTCAGGAAACCTTACATTTGTTATTGCTACAGAAATGAGGCTTTTAGAGGTAAGGTGTAATATTTTTCACCTAATTTATCATCCATTTTTATTCATATATGATTAACTGTTACGATTTCTGAAAGAATAAAATTGAACACCAAATATTTCAAACCAATCATATACTTTTGCAATGCCCACCCTAAACTATTTGCTTGGTCACTAGAATATACAACTCACGTCCTTTTTCTCTTTCATTAGGAAGACTTATAGAGGTATGCATGTATCAAAAAGGACCCACAACATATCAGGGTGAACTGTTTTAGTTGGCATTTTCTATTCTGGTTAGAACAAAATTCACAACGTTGTGTTTATATGCCACAGATTGAGTTACTTTAATTGTTTGTGCATCCTTGACTACATGTCCAACATCACGGTTTGGAAATATGACACAAGACGTTTGGTTGATTTTCCAATAGTCTGTAACTTTTTTTTCCATTATGGATTCTGAATGGTAGCAGCCTTGCTACACCATATAACAGTGATTTTAGCATGAATGGGCACTAAGCTAAGAAAATATGGGTCATGCTAATTTTCTTCCTTTCCCTTGGAAGAGGAGGCCATGATCCGAGTGAAGCCGTAGGTGTACACGTGTGCTTCATAGGCTCTCGACAAACTAGCTGGAGATAAGGGGTCAGCCTAGGAGTTTCACGTATTCATATGAGTATATGACAATGCTTACATTTAGTTTCAAGCATGCTTTCTGAGTTTATGTGTGTATATACATGAGAATACAACTAATTAGATGATTTTTTACATATTCATGATGAAACAAGCTAATTTTTTATATATTATATTAGTCTTAATAAAGATAAAAGATGTATTTTAAGGTTGAGTCCAATCCATAATTAGATTATGTTTTCTCTTAGGTGCACATTTGGCCATTTAAACAGTGATCTAGAAGTGAAAGGAAGCTCAAACATTCAGGTATCTGTAATAATATGACATTATTAAGTTCAGTAGGTTAGAGTACTAATGAAACTCTCCCCACATATGCTCTTTCTCCTTTTTATTTTTATTTAAGAATAGATTTAGCTCTGAACCTCTTTTT